TAAAATGGGGAAAAAAATCCAGAAAATCACAGTCTGATTTTTAAAGAATTTATTTGCAACTCTCTCTCATCTTTTTAAGTGGGAGAACTTGCACAATTGGTGGCTGACTAAATACTTTTTTGCCCCACTGTACGTAGGACTGATTCTTGTATTCCCCTAGAGCATGGCCGAACCACATCTAAATAGCATCAAGTTGGAGAAAGGTGGGCTAATTCTTCCAGAAGATGCACTTGTCAGAGATTAAGTTTCATGCAGTTGTGACAGAGGTAGAAAAATTTACATTTACAATTTAATTCAGATGACGATGTCTACATATATTCTTTGCACAATTCCAATCCTTCGCTGCTTTTTTCTTTTCATAAGGTATATTCTTCTTAGAATCAAAAACTGATTCTTAGAGGTTGGATAATTTGAGAGTAGAGAAAGATCCATTTTTTAGATTAGATAACATCAAATACAGTAACATTAAAATGGATGCAGGTTGAAAAGAGACAATATAATGAAATGGGTAAGTACACCTGATAAATTCTATTGAAGTACCTATGCAGCAAGGGTACCACATGTCTGGGTTTAGTGGTCTTAAATATTTAAAACCTTGATCTTAAAAAAATAAAACTATAGATAGGTAATCACTAAACAGCATTTCAGAGTGCGCTGCATTGTGAATTGAGGATAGCTGCCAAAGTTATGCCATTGATGCCCCTTAAAAGTAATGCTTGCTTTTATGCAAACATCTGAGCCCATTTACAGGGAAAGTGGAACTACTGAGTAGCCAAATTCAACCGCTTTAGCTGTTGTGTAGATTTCATTAGATTAGAAAGCAGAGCTGTTTTGCCTTTATTGTACTGATTTGGAGGAAGAGAATGATAAACTCTGTGTTGGGTCCATGTGGACTTGTTTCCATTATTTTTATTGGATTTAAATGACAGCCTCAGAACATACCACCTACAAAGCTATCAGCTGTTTCTTTTCTTCTGTTATTTAAATGAAAAACTAAACATAGGTGCCCCATCCCTTTAATAAGGAAATTCATGACAATAACACACACTCACAATGGCAACTGTTTCTCATTGAGCTCTTGTCTTCTTATTTTGCTTCATCATAAACTTCTCATGCTTGGAAAAACAGAGCATAGAGGACTGACTGTGAAGGATTGCAGTGACTTTTTTGCCCGATTCTATTAATATATAGAACCCCACAATTAAACATGGGGTTATAAAATGGACTTGATCAAAGATAAAATCCATTTACCCTTCCTTCACTGCAAATCTACTTTTTTTTAACTGGTCACTCATTTTTATATTCAGTTTGCATTCATTCAGCATATATTTGTTCTTGACCTTACTCTTCTTTTCCACATATACTTCTTCAGTACCCATGCCCACCGCATTCAACTTTTATGTTTCTCTTGTATCAAACTTTCACTTCCATATAAGGCTGTCTTTGAAGACACCCACAAGCTGCAGTTGGTGCAGCATGCTGTGGCCTGTGTATTGTCAGGCATTCATCATCCTGAGCACATTACACTTGTGTTGCAGGCCCTGCATTGGCCTTCTATAAATTTTTGGGTGCAATTCAAAGTGCTGCTTTTAACCTGCAAAGCCTATATAGCTTGGTGCTAGGTAGTTATACAATTGCCTTCTCCGGCTAGAACCGGCCTGTCTGATGATCACCTTGAGAAATTGCTTGTGGTTTCCCACTTTCCTGAGGTGTGTGTGTGTAAGTACACGTTGTAGAATAGTATCCCACTAAGGTTAAGTTAGTCCCCTCCTTAGTTACTCTCAGAAAACAAATGAAGACAAAACTTTTCTAGAGAGCATTTGGAGATTAATTAGAGTGATGATTTGTTGCTGGTTAATGTAGTATAATTTTAGCTGATATATTTTTCTCCATTGGATGTTTTAATGTTTTATGATTCTGTATTGTTATTTCCTGTGTTGTAAACTGCTGGGAGTCTGTTGAGAATATGGCAGCATACAAACATGATAGGTAGATAGGTAGACAGAGTGAGTCAGTAGAAGTACACAGACATTTTGGCATCTTTTGGAAAAGAATTCATTCCTTACAACAGAGTTGTGTCGGTAAGTACATTAAACAACCAAGGCGTGCACTCTTGTCTTATTCTGTATAATTTTGAACCATTCATAAAGTGTTTCATTTATTTTCAAACAAATATACTGCTATTTATTTATTTAATTACTCACAGGACTTGTATGACTGCTTGTCTCATATAATGACTCTAGCTGACTCACAACAATCCATAAAAACATGGCTAACAACTTCAAAGTCCCATCAGGTTATCACATTTAGCAACCAGCTTCGTATTCACACAAAAGATTCCATAATTCAAAGCATTCACTTTATGATAGGATTTCTCTAAATCAACATACAGTAACTTTCTCACTTTCATACATTTCTCAGTGACTTGCTGAAGAGGAAAAATCTAGTTTGCACACCGCCCTGTGCAGCAAGAATTTGAAGTGCACTTTCCATATTTTGCTCCTTGTCACCAATTCTATCAAATATCTTCCTAGGTATATTTAACAAACTAATCCCAAGCAAATTTTGCACTTACTCTTTCTACTCTTCCTTTGTATAGGGAAACATTAATGGTATTCTTCTGTCTAGCCCAGAGACAGTCTTCATGGACATGTTAAGTCTCATGACCATTTCATAAACAAACTAATTTCACATTTATAACATTTCTCCAATCACACTATCCCCACCTGCAGCCTACTGTTTCTGAACATTCTGGCAACATTTATGAATTCCTTTTCATCATTTTTTATCAGTTGAATGCTAACATTTATAGCATTTGTTTCAATTCCAGTCTTTATTGTATTTAATTTTATTTACAATATTTATGATTCACCCCTATCTACAATTAGTCTGGGCTGCTTACAAATAAAGTTAAAACCAAAACAATTATTATACACAGCCAAGAAAAACAAAATAATTATGTAATTATGACAAACCATAATAAACCAGAATCTAAGACCTCCTGAAACAATACTTGCTTTCTAGATGCAAGCAGGGTAGGAGCCTTGTGGCCTTCTTGCGGGTGGTGGAGAGGGCATTGCAGAGATGATATTATCATTCCCATACAAATCTTTAAAATATGCCTTCCAATATCTCCTCACTTCAGTTTCATCTCAAATAATTTCATCACTTTTTTTAATCCATTCACTCATACCCATACATACCCACAACAACCTAGATAACCATTTATTCCTTTTGTAATTTATAATTCAAATCCTGCTTTTTTACATCTCATAGAAGTTACCATGTGGGCCCATAGATACTGTTATCTGCTGTCTTCATGGCTTTAGACAATTAAGACTTTCCTATACTATTTTGTAGCAATATAAAGAAGGTATAGACTAGGTTATGAACCTTAGGCATACCTTAGCTGTACACAGCATTCCTTGCTTATGGTAAGAATGGTTCTGGCCAAGTTGGGCCACTAAGCCCCAAGCACAACCAAAGTCTTGTTTTACTCCATGCAGTCTGCCTTATGTAAGATATCTGAACTAGAGACCACTTTGCAAGCCACCCATCTTCACATCAAGTAGGAGATAAATGCGATATACTGACACATGTTCAGAATGCTTATAATGTTGTAGGTACTGTAATTTAATCAGTGTATTGATTTAACTCTATTCAAGGACATTGGGGGACATAGTGAATGTGACCACAAAGCACCCCCTGTTTGGTAATGGGACTTTTAAAAAGTCCCAATTTATATCAAGTGAAAGTACAGAAAAAGAGTGGGGTGATTTTTTTAGGAAGTTGCAAAGCTGGGAACCGCAACTTCCTAGCGAAGGAAGACTCCCAGCAGGAGCCTCCTTAAAAATCGTTTTCACTGCAATTAAGCTTTAAAATAGCTTCTACTTCAGGATAATGTTTTTGCCTGTTCAGCAATAAAAGTGTTTCATCTTTCCCTTAAATTAGGAAGTAAGGTTGAGAAAAAGTGGGAGTGTTGGAGGGGGCATTTCTTTTTCAAACTAGTCAGGGCCCAAACTGACAGCTTATGATGGCAAGATTAGAATTACTATCTGAAGTTCACTATTCCTAGTTTAAACAAGTAGATTGGCTCTATGTCCTAATCTTTCTGCCAATTCAAATACTTATCTTTAACTTAAACAGGCATATTTTTCCTTAAAAATATGGCTTTATAGAGAGTTTTTAAACTTATATCTAAGACAGAAGTGTTACGTATCAACAATAAAAACCATTTTTAAAAATATATAAACTACAGTCCTTAATTGTACAATACATTTTGGAAATAGGTATTTTATGAGTAAGTTCAGCCCAATGAAGAAAATTAGACCTTTGCATGTTAATTATGAAAAGACATTTGACATATTCAGGCAGAATATGTTCTTTACAGAGGTAAATACAAATTGGCTTTGGATCTTTTGTGGCTAAAATTGCATTGTTAGCTGAATAAACTATTTCTTTATGTTTTAAGGTACAGAAGATGAAATAGGCAAAGATATTTCTCCAGAATGTTATGTTCAACAAGATGATGATCAACAGCAAGGGTGGGTGTCGTGGGCCTGGTCATTTGTGCCTGCTATTGTGAGCACCGATAATGAAGATAGAGATTATGTTGGAGTGGATGATGGAACAGTGAATCAACAGAAAATTCCAATCGTTAAGGATCCCATTGTTTCCATAGGATTTTATTGCACAAAGGCAACAATCACATTCAAAGCAAGTATTTTATTTGTAATACAAGTATATTTTCAGTTGTATTTAACTGAGTGATGGACCAGGAACAGTAGGCATCAACAATATGGCACAAATTCTAATACTGGGAGGAAATCTGTATAAGCTCACTTTTAGATGAATACTATAGCAGTGTTGTCCTGTATGGATCTATTCCAATGTAAACTCCATGGAATTTAGCGAGATGTACTCCTGTGTAAGTGAATAGTATCAAATCCTTAGTATCCTTAGGATTTATTTTGTAACAGAAAAAATAATTGATAACCTAGGCATTATAGATTGAATATAGTAGTAACAACTTTGGGCCAAGAAAGCCCAGGTTCAGATCTTCATTTAGTAGTGAAGTTTAATGGATAATTTTGGGCTATCCTCAGCCTAATCTCTGTCAGAGGATTATTGTGAAGATAAAACAAAGAGAAAGAGAATCATATGTAATGCCATAAGCTTTTAGGAAACAATAACTAAATAAAACTATAATTACAGCTCTTTCCCCCCACTGTCCTGAGGTGTTCACACTCTTCCTTTCTTCATTTATTGTTATTTTGCAGCTGTTTGATCTTGTTTCTTGGTCTTTGCTATAGGTTCGGCAGTGGACCTTATCAAATTTTATGAGGGTGGACACTGTTGCATTTTGAAATGCTGTTTTAATAAGAATATTCCATGGAATCCCACAACTTGTACTTTGGTTCAAATGTTAGGTCTGTTTGAGACTGTAGTAAATTGCTTAGTTAAGCAGTTCATCTAACCAAGTAACTACAACTCCTTAAGACTGACCATTTTAGCTATTCTTGTACATTTCCTTGCATTAAAATAATTTTATCATATCCCAAAATTGTTAATATTACATTTTTACTTTATAAATTGGAATGTATAAGAGTATTATTGTGGCACTTAGAAGGCAAACATTAGAATCCATTGTTCTGCTTGAATGCTAAAAATGTATGGAATTAATTTGTGGATCATATTTTGGTCAAAAATAAGGTCAAGTTTCTGCATTAGCATTCTGAGTAGCTGATACTACTCCAGCTAAAAAATCATACCAAATTAAATGTAGCATTTTCCTAATAATGTCAGAAATTGTTCTTGCAATGTTTGAGTTCTTTTAATCAATTAATTGCTTTTCCTCTACAATAATTGCATACAGCTGAAGATTGATTTTTTCCTGTTTTACTTGAACGTTTGCCTTATACAATTGTGCTTCAAAATGTCAACCATGTGTACACCCTGTTGGAAATGACAAAGTAATGAGAACTTCTAGAAATTGTATAAGAAAATTAAAAGAAATTATTTTGGCAGTTAAAGATGGATAGTGAAGAGTGCTGGGGACAAGCAAAAGATTCATTATTCTACCCATTTTAGTGAATAATGCTAACTTTTTTGGCTCTTGTATTCATGCTGACCAGAGTATATGTGTGTGTGCGTGGTGTATGTGCTTGTATGTGTGTATGTGTGTGCGTGTATATATAGCTGAAGTATTTCCTTATGATTTAAAGTTCATAAAGGTCAACTGAATACTTCCATCTTTTAAATTACTTCCTGTGTTATTACAGTGTACTTAATTATATTTGGTTATGTCCATAAACTGTGTTACACCTGCGTATAGGTAACTTGATCTTTTTTGTCCATTGTTTTTGTAATTCAGAAAGTAAAAATATTTCAGTATTTTTTCAATTGTAGCAGTACATAGGTTAAATTGGTGCATTTAAATCCAAGTTACTTTCTGTGTGGATAATGTGTCATAGCTGCTTTAGTGCACCTGTTTCCTGCACAATCGTATTCACCAATACTAAAATCTGTCGTCATCTTTTTCTCCAGAATAATGAGATCTTATATGTATTTAATTCTAATGTTGACTAATGGTAAATGTTCCTCATTGTTACATAGCTCACTGAAATGCAAGCTGAAAGTAGTTATTACAGTCCACAGAAAGTAAAATCCAAAGAAATAATGTGCTGGCAACAAGAAGGAACTACAATCGAGGTAATTTTTCCATTACTTTTGTACAGTGTTCATTTATAGTAGAAATCTTGGCATCAGTAGTTTTTCATCAGCATTATTATGTTCAGCTGGCAGTAACAGTATTGATTTTATATTCCCCCCTTATTGGACAATTGTAATAACTGAAAGAGATCCATTTTTAGATTACAGCTGTATTCCCGAAGTGAGTATTTTCATGTCTTGTCCATTACAAGTACTCTTTTATTTTATTTACTTTTTAATTAACTACAATAAGCCTACATATAAGGTAATCCACAAAGCTATTTATTTCACTATAGTATCAAGGACTGTAAACTAGACTGGGAAATCAAAAACATTCCAGAAAAAGGTGATGGCAAATCACGTCTATTCTATTTTCAAGAAACCTTAATAATTTTTTCTAATTGTCACCAGGAATTGAGCTCAACTAGAGGGTGTCTTTATTTTCTTATTTTATTTATGTACTTGTAACTGGGTGCTGGATCCCACTCTCATTTGAATATGAACCATTTCTCATTGTGTTTACATATTGATAGACCATCCTTCACCACATTAAATTTTCTTCCCTAGGTCCTTATGAGAGGAGAACCTTTCTTTGATTGCCAGATAGGGTTTGTTGGTTGCCAAGCCCTTTGCCTTAAAGGAATTATGGGAGTTAAAGATTTTGAAGAGAACAAGAATAGAAGTGATTCAGTGAGTATAATTTATATTTTATTGGATCACAGACATGCTAATAGCCTGGAAACATTTTTAGAAATTTTTGAAAGATCCTGAATTAGTTCCAGAGTGCCACGTCTTATTTTGAATGTCAGAAAAGGATTTAAATAGTGTTTTTCAACTAAGAGAAAGTAATTTCAAAACTTTTTTTATTAGGGCCTCAGTGATGAAGTATCAGTGAGAACAAAAATCCCAATATTTGTATATATGGTCAGATCATAAACACACCTGAAGTACCTTTTTTAGGTCCTAGAGTAAAAAAAGAAACGGGAAGGGCAGTTGCATCTAAAGAATTGATAACATGTTGGGAAAATGGCTGTATTTATCAGTATCAGTGTTCATTTTATTCAAGCTCTGGATATCTCCCTCCCTCCCTCCCTCCCTCCACACCATAAGGCTTGGTTCTTGATGGTTTTTTATCAAAATACTGAAATTACATATTTACTAAATGCTGTGACTTAGTATTTTTTCCTTTAATTTGACTTTCCTGTGATAAAAGCTCTAGCTGAGGGTGATCAGATGGACAAATGTTTTGCTGAAGTAGCATATACAATGAGGCAACTGTATACTCATCAAAATTAGGGCAGAGTTGGTTTAATTTGCTGGTAATGAGGATTGCATGCAAATCTGACTTGCTGCGTAGTACTTTGTGGTATACCTGGAAACTCTGAGATTTTTGCTGAGATTTAAAGGAAAATAAAGATACTGTGTAAATTGAATCAGAAAAACGCATAATCCCCACCCAAATTTACAATATTCAAAGGCTAAATTTTGATCTCGTAAAAGGTTAAGTGTGAAAACCCGGGTAGTAGTAGAAGATTATAAACAAGGAAATAGACTTAAATATGCAAAACAGCCATCACTAACCTGCCCAAAGATATTTCTGTTTTTTACTACCTTCTGAATTTATGGAGCTTTAGACATTATGGGATTGTCTTAATGATTATATATTGGAAGCATTTTGCGTTTGTGAAAAATACGTTTCTCTAAGTTCTACACTGTGATTTCTTTATATTCTTTACATTCTTACAGATTTTAATTTTTTCCCCTTTTATACCAGGAAGCATACTTTTTCCACTGTGGAGAAAATCTGAGTACAAAAGGGATGACATATCTTACCAATTCACTGTTTGATTACAGAAGTCCTGAAAACAATGGTGTTCATGCAGAATTTATTTTGGATGCAGCTGCTCACAAGGTCTTTTTCCTCTCTAATTTGAATTTGCTGAATAGTCAGATCTTCTGTCTTATTTTACCCACTTTTATGTTCAGTAGATCACTTATAAAATCTGTATTACCTATTTTTCTTAAACTATTTTATCACTTGGTGGCCCTAGTTTTTGTGCTAGGAAAGGTATATAAGAGTTATATCCAGAGAGCTGTTTTAATATGTATTTTTCTTTACTGCTAAAATTAACATGAGGTGACCAAGCTTGTTACTTTTAATGGAGTAAATAAATAAATTAGCCCATTTTTAATTGGATAGAATCTTCAGTTGGAACCAGGGAGGCCTTCATTTTAAACCACCTTTTGTTATGAAACTATTGACTGGTTGTGGATAGGTTACTCTCTTGCAGCATTACCTTAATAAAGATTTTGCACTTATTACAATAAGATAAATGTAGTAAGTTCCCTTGAGCAGCCCAAAAGAAGATCAAGATGTGAGTGTGACAAATTAAAGTTAGCATATCCATTAAACTTGTTCAGTTAGCTTTTTGTACTTAACTACAGTTCTTAAAGGACGAAGGTTATTTGCCATCAGAATATTCAGAAGCAGTAGGCTAATTTTTTAACAATGTCTGCATTCAGATTCTTTAAAGCAATAGAATCTGACTCTAGGCTTACAGGAATTACTTTGTTTTTTCAAAAGAATTTTTTAGATTCACCAATTAGAGTATACTGCAAAGCAAAACAACTAAAGCTGGAGGGGGAAGGCGGGAAGAAGCTTGATATCATTTTTGAGGAGGCATCTCCAGAACTTAACTACAGTATTACAAATGTAATTTCATTAGTTAGTCATCCCCCATGTTTCAATAATTTCCAATAAAATGTGAAATTAGAAACTTAGGTTGAATTGCATTTTCCATTTTTTGCTCCTTCATATAGTATAGGGAGAACTTTTTGGAGCTTTTCTCAATCCATTTTGTTTTTATCAACTACTTATTTTTTATGCCCACTTCATGCCATTTATAAACATCTTAAAAAGTAATAGTGTATGTACAATCCTTGGAAGGCTCCTTCCTTGCTTCCTTTCTGAAGTCTCAGTTTATATGGTGAATTTCCTGTCAATTCTCAGTCTGATCTGACAACTTACTTTGTTAAAGCTTAAAACTTTCCTTTATTAGTAGTATATAAGTTCTCCTCAACTAATATCACCTTCAAGTCTAATGACATGATTAGAATGTTATTTAAGGTTCATTGCTTCTTATAGACAATGAACAAACAATTCCTACTGAGTTCAAATAAACCTAATTGATTCAGGCTACATTTCCTAAAATGTTTTGTAAATTACAAATGTTAGATTTTCAGTCAGCTGGTCTGCTAGGAAGTAAGAGGTCAGATTGAGATAATTTACTCAATTTAAGATACTAATTAACTAGCTTCTGTTGGTAAAACTGAACAAAAGATCCAAAAGGCTTATAGATGCCCTTTTGTGTAGCCTGGTATAGAAGTTGCATTAGCTATTTGAAGGATGAATTCTTTGGCTAACCTCTGTCCTTTGTATTGATAAGCTTTACCATGTATTCATGCACAAACCCAAACAAGCATATATCTTTAGTACTTCTATATAGCTCTGATACCGTTGGGTTATAATCTCAAGATTCTTTCTTAACAGAACATTAGTTGTATGTACTTTGCTTTGTTGGTAGGAGATGTACACAGAGATAGCTGGAATGCAGAGGTTTGGGGCTTTCTACATGGATTATCTGTACACAATGGAGAGCACCAGTGGCAAAGGTACTTAATTTCTTTGTTTGCTTTCTCTTTGAATAACAGAAACAAAGGCTTATTCAGAGGCACCTGACAGTCCTTGACCGACTGTCCTCAGGCTTACCTTTTTAAGGCCTAATTTAAATCTAGCCTGATTTCTTGAATGCCTGTTTGTCTATCATCCACCACTTGCTTTTTTGTTCAGAGATTTCTGAATAAAATAATGTGCATCTTGATTTAGTTATTTATAAAATGTGATATCCTATAAATTTTTAATTTAGACTGAGAAAACCTGGGTTCAGATCTCTACTTCAAGGGAAGCTGAGTTACAAGATTAATTTCCAGAGGCAAAGGGGAAGGAAGACAATACACAGCAGCAGCATCAAATGCTCAGCTTGCTGGATATGTGGAAAACCAATTATTATAACTTTCTTAAAAAATGGTAATTCAGCTACTGGTAAAAAGCTTCTGAGAAGGAGAATCCATCAACCTCTGAGGCAATTTGTTTCAGGAAGCTCTGTGCATCAGGAAGTGCTTTCAAAGTTTAATGAAAACTATTTTTCTTGTAGTTTTGAACCTACTGGAGAACAGAAACAAATTTGTTCAATGGCATTTACTCCCAGGCTATTTACATAAGATTATATTGAATAAATGAGCCCATTCCTCATTCCCCTTACTCTCTAAACTAAATAAATTCAAGAGCAATAAGAGACACTTCTTCCCGTAAAAATATTTTAAAGCAACTTTGGTAAGCTTTATTAGTGGTTTAATTGAGACCATATTATCTACAAAAGGATGGGTTGGAATGATAGGGTACAGCAACCGGCTGTTCTAGTCACTTATAGGAGGGAATGCATGCACATTGTGCATTCTCTGGAAATGGGTGTGATGGCTGTGTGTAGAGGTAGTCCTCATTCAATGACCCTAATTGGGACCAGCAACTCTGTTGCTAAGCAAAGTGGTCATTAATAGAAACATGTGTCTGCCTCGCTTAGCGATGGCAGTTCTGGCAGTCCCTGCTGCTGTTATTAAATGAATCCCGCACGGTTGTTAGGCAAGGACCCACCTCGATCCAAGCCATTCCAAGCTTGGTCCCTCCCAGCCCCAAACCTCGGTTCTTCCAAGGCAAGGGACTGCCTTCCCTTCAACTTCCCCCACCCACCTATCTCCCCCTATCTCTGCCCTTTTGGCCATCCTGCATAGCATGAAGAGGCACTATATTCCCCCTGCTGCTGCCACCAGCGGACCTTTCTCCCTGTCCTTGGTGCAATCATTGTATTCTTCTTCCCCTCCACTGGGCTCGCCACTGCCACTGAGGAGTGCTGCTTCAAGCCCTGCAGCGCAGCAAGCACACAACACCCCAGACTTAACAAGTGTTGATAAGAAAGACAAAAAAGTCTGGATAATGGACATTGCAATACCTGGAGACAGCAGAATAGAACAGAAAGAACTGGAGAAAATCACAAAACACAAAGACCTGCAAATAGAAATAGAACGCCTATGGCAAAAGAAAGTGAAAATAGTACCAATAGTTATAGGTGCCTTGGGTGCAGTCCCAAAACATCTGGAGCACCACTTGAAGACCATCAGCATTGACAAAATCACCATCAGTCAATTGTAAAAGGCAGCTTTACTTGGAACAGCTTATATCCTGCCATGATACATTTAACACCATCAGACAACAACATCTGCCTATCCCAGGTCCTTGGGAAAGACTTGATAAAAATGCCAAATCCAGTCTAAACAACTGGCTGACTGTGTGACCAACAACAAAAACAACAACAACAACAACAATAATAATAAACCTGCCTATCCTCCACAGAGCAACAATTTAATATTAATAGTTACAAATGTTATCTAAATATTTGATTCATTGTGGTATACAATAAAAAACTAAAATGATGATAATAGTAATGCATAAATAGCACATAAATAATAATTCTTAACATTATCACACCCTTTTATATATTGTGGTTTTAGTCTTTGCAGCTTTGGTCTGGCCATGTCACATTCTTCTGATCTACTTATAGATATTTAGCTCTTTTCCTTAGTAACTAAGCTTGCAAAGCCCCATCTGCCCTCACCACTCTCAGCATCCCCATGTGAAGGAATGTAGACCTAACCTTGGGAACAGAGAAGGAATGGGCAGCTGTTAAGGGGGGACTTTCAGAAAAGATAACTCAGTCTTGAGAAAGAAACTCACAACACATGGACAGACTCAACCATAGTTTCAACTGGGAAACCGTGACCATCCTAGACCAAGCTAAATCCAAAAAATGCTAGATAATTCCTGGAAGCTTGGCATTCAGATAAATCAGCCATCAATAGACACATAGAGATGAACCATTATAGAGAGAAACACACAAAGATAAACCGACCATCCTAGACCAAGCTAAATCCAAAAAATGCTAGATAATTCCTGGAAGCTTGGCATTCAGATAAATCAGCCATCAATAGACACATAGAGATGAACCATTATAGAGAGAAACACACAAAGATAAACCATTACACACCATTCAAAAGAGACAATAAAAAAAAAACTAAGAAGGAAACAAAAAGACCAGAACACATCCTCTCCAGCAGCCAACACCCAGATAAGCAGGGATTAACACCAGACAAACAAGCAGAAAACAATACCCTAATCAAGGAACTACCAAGAAGAAAACCACACCCCCACCAACACTGGCAGGGCAAGGCATTGTAAAAACTAAGAAGGAAACAAAAAGACCAGAACACATCCTCTCCAGCAGCCAACACCCAGATAAGCAGGGATTAACACCAGACAAACAAGCAGAAAACAATACCCTAATCAAGGAACTACCAAGAAGAAAACCACACCCCCACCAACACTGGCAGGGCAAGGCATTGTATATAAACAGGGAGCAAACTCCACACTCACCAGCATGGATGATGTTACCTAGTCAGGTAATGAAACATCTGCAAGCAAACAACCAACCTCAGGGAGCACCAAGGACTCCACAAACTCAAAATAACTCCACCTTGATTTCGTTTGGTATATGATGGGATAGGCAGAAAACCAGATAGGCTTTCAAATTCAGTTCTTTTGCCTTATAACAATACGTAGCATTCCTGGAATCCCTGCTTACCTGGGTCTTGACCTGGACTAACTTGAAGGGCTCACCCCCATTCCTTTTTTACTTTGCCAACCAGGATGACACTTCCAGAAGCTCATACACCCATCAGCATTACTGTCAGGGTCATTTGAGCTACAGACTCCCTTCGTTGTATCCAGGTAGTAAATCCCCTGGGTGGGGAAGGAATAGAAGTCTAATAATTTCTCTAAAATGAAGATTGCAAAGGCATTAAAAGAATCATGACTTAGTTCATGTTGGATATTTCATTTCTTTGAAAGTTCAATTGGACTTTGTCTGCACTTATGCTGTAAGTGGAATACAGCAGTAATATTTTCTGTTAGAATGATGAGTTTTAATGCTAATTGTGGCTTCTTGCCTCATTGCCTTTTGGTTAGAGGCCATGCTTGGACATAAAAGTTCCTCTCCCTGAACCTTCTCTGGCATAGCTTCAAGAAAGTTAGAAGCTTTTGCTTCTGTTACCATTTCACTTTCATTTAGTGCATTATCTGAATTTGAAGATCTCTGGTTGAAACAACCAGTTCTAGAAACTTTATTTACAAATACATTAAGCTGTAATTTTTATATTCCCATCTATTCACAACATACCTGTTTTTCACACTTCAGATTTAATTAGGTGCACTGCTGGCATTTTCAGAGAAAAGAAGCCACAGCTCCAGTGGATTTGGAACAAAGCAAATGCAGTTGAATTGGAACAGGGAAAAATGCACTTTCAGTGTGCATGCAGTATTTCTTGTGGATTTTGACTGTGTGGTTTGGGGCTGTTTTTTTTTTTTTGGAGGGGGAGGATGGAAATGAATTGCTTCCCAGAATCAGATATCCCCCTAGTATTGCATTTGTCCCCTCCGCCTCCGTTCCTCATAACTGTTACCGAGGAAGATAAAGGAAATTGGGCCTCCCTGTGAATAAGAGATGCAGTAAAGGTTATTCTTTGAGATAAAGATACTTAATTAAATCTGTCTAAAATACTATTTCTTTAGCTGAATTTAATTTTGGACTGGCCAGTTTCCTTGGGCCAACAGTGGGAGAAGGGGGCTTAAATGCCCTGTAAATGTGATTTATATGCTCTGAATGCTGTTCTTCTCTTGTTTTCTGATAAAGCTTGAAACAAGCTAGGGAAGCACAAAACAATTTGGAAAATAATACAGGAAAATGTTTAAATACCATATTGTGCCACCATTGATTATATAAATTGGCTATTTCCAAACTTCAAGATACAGAACAGCAGCTCTCTTACCTTTATATAACTGGATCTCTAAAGAGAAAATAAGTGCATTGGTATGTTATGTAGCATGTGTCCATACATGGGTGCAAATGCTAACTTATGATATTTGCAATATAAGAAAATTTCATGCTGCATATTAACACTCTGAAACAAAACAACTTATATTTTAGTGTCTGGAAATCAGCCAGATGTGACTTCTGTGAAGATTGAAGACTTCAGTGGTGTTCAGGAGATGTCTACAAAAAATCTTATTATAGGACCTCTGAATCTTCGACTTGATAGCAGTGCAGTGCACAGAATTATAAAAATGATTGTTTGTGCTCTAGAACATGAATATGAACCATATAGCAAGTCTAAACTAGGTATGTTTTGTGAATTTTTAATTTTAAAAACTAAGATATCTGAGTATTAATTGGAAAAATGTTAAGGGTAAAAATGGATTTGATAGAGGAAAGTTCTGTGAGGATTTCAGCTGAGACCGTTCATTGTTGCCTGTAATAATCTTTGTATTCCTACAGTTAGGCCATTTCACTATCTGCTTAAGGAATTCATTTGCTGTGCCTTTTGAGAACTGAAAATGAAAAGTATTCTAATATATTGTAATATGCTATATATTACTTTAATGTATACTTTAAAAATACTAATTTTTAAAGATCCTGGATAGGAAACATATCTAGTCAGGCATATTTTTAAAATTATTACTTGCATGAATGCATGCCATTTTACAAAGAATAGGAAGATAGATTAAGGAAGGAGAAAAGAAGAAAAAACAAGGGAATCATATACTTATAGAACTGCTAAAATCATAAAGAGGGCACCTATAAGCTATAATGAGTCTTTAAAGCAGACTTATTTTTCTGTTCATGGCATGCAATATTTATTTATTAAACAATAGTTATAGGTAGCCACAATCTATATGGGCTTTGGGCATAATACATTAGTTCAGCATATAATACAATAAAAAAGCAATTAAACTAATAAATAAATATGATCATTTGATGAAACAGTACCACTTTAACTGCTTCCATGAACCTTGCAGTGGGGGGGATCTCAGCATACCCTTTCCAAATGTCATTACCCAATAGACAGATTCTATTTTGGCAATGTGTTCCCTGATATATCCTGGTGCTGTGCCGTTAATGACTTTAAAGGTAAGGAGCAGGACTTTGAATTGGGCCAGGAAGCATACTGGTAACCAGTGCCATGACTTCAAAGCTGGTGTTATTCTGTACTGACTGGATAACCCCATCAGCAGTTTACTTGCAGTGTTCTGTACCACTTGTAGTTTCCAAGTCATTTCTAAAAGCCCCACATAGAGTGTGTTATGGTAGTCTAATTGTGTGGTTATTAGGTCATGAGTAATTGTTGCCCGTTGTTAACCTGGATAACTGGAGCACCAGCCAAAGCTGGGCAAAGGCCCTCCTGGCTATAGCTTCCGTCTGTTGTTCTAGAAGGATGCAAGAGTCGAAAGCAATCCAAAATCATGACTGGACATAATCTAAATTAAGACAAATTGATCAAAACAATATATTGATGATAGACATTCATTTTAATCATTATATTAAATCATCTCTTGTTATTATAGATTGTATAGAAGGAGCCAAAGTTATGCCAAGCACAGAAGAAGATGCTGCCTTAGAGGAATATATTCCAACTCGGATCACAACCTTTACAATTTTAAAATGCACTGTTACTATCCCTATGGCTGAATTCAATTTTCTTGCCCACTTATTGCCTGTCATCATGGGTCAAAAGGTACTATAATTTTATGAACTATTTGTAATTAAAACATGCATGCTTTTTGAATAGATATTATTTTATGTAGTCTAACAGTTTGTATATATTTATATATATTCTAAATTTTTAATAGATGACCTTGAGATAGAATCTATATATTTTTTTAAAAAACTATATTTGGAATTATATGGTTTAAATTTAAATATATATCCATGTTTTAGATATAACTTAGTCTGTGTATTTTCTGTCCTATTTCCTGAAGAGTTCAAGCACCTTCTTAACTACAACAAATCTTCAGCTATTACGGCCTCTGCCTTGTATCCAAATATTGGTAGATAAAATGGTCCTGGAACACTCAGTGCCAATGTATGCTGATCAACTTGTGCAATATGTCAGCAGCCTTAGTCAGCCATCTGATAATTTACTTCACTATTGCTATATGCACTGCTATCTTAAGGTATCTTTTATTCTTTTTCTGCTCAATAAATATGTATGCCATTCCACTGGTATCTTGTTAATAATGTAACAGAAACATATAACTATTTATCATATTGTGGGTCATTGGTTTCAAGATACAGTAAGTCATGCTATCTTAGTGTTATACATTTTGTTCCTTACATGATTTTCCTGCTTGGGCTTTCTAAAATATGGGAAAAAGTATGCTGCATTTAAAAACTGAAATTTCATGGTATTGAAATGAATAAACTTGCTAATGAAAAAAACTCAAATATTTATATTTTGTTTTTGACTATGTTATTTCTTTTTTAAGATATTTGGTTTTCAGGCAGGATTGACGTCATTGGATATTAATGGATCTTATAGTTCACCAACTTCAGTAATTCCCCCATTCAGCACAGCTATTTATGGCAAAATGCTTAAGCTACCTAAATACTGGTGAGTATTTCTTTTTTTTTTTTTGTGGGTGTGTATGTATAAGTGTCAACTGTCAAATAGGATCAATAGGTTTTTTTCTCATTTAATATTTTCAGTTAATTTAAACACTAAAGCCATTGGAGTTGGTCAGATGCTTTAAAAATATCTAAGGTGTTTAGAAATTAGAAATTATACTTTATAATTTAATATTCTTTTTATGGGATGTACCATTTGTCCATTTTAATAAATCCGGCTTGATCCAGAATAATATAATTAGCAAGTTACATCCTTTTGGCTAGACATGATGTAAAAATCTTTTGATCTTGGTTTGGAAGTGAAGTTCAGATCAGAATCAACGATCATCAGATTCAACGAATTCTATTTTTGTTTTGCTTTATGCCATGAATTAGAGATGTGATTATCCTGTAATATAGAGTTAAACATGTAAACAAGGCATCATATTTTTTGAAAAGTTTTTATAGGTGCAGTGATGCATCAAGTCCTGGAACTTAACTGCATTTTATATCTTTGTTTACCCATGTTATTTATTTGGAAATTTTAAAGACTTGTTCTATGAGCTTCTAATTAGGGAGTGATCTGAATTAAGTCTAAAATCTATTCTGGTTTATTAATCTATTTGCTGTGAAAAAAAAAATAGCATAAAGTGCAGTTTGTTCAGTTCTTTAATTTCAGAATTTTTTCCCTTGCATTATTTTAAACTGAACTGATTTTAATGTGTGAAACTTTATTCTTTAATTTATTTGCTAATAATTTAGAAGCCTTATTCCCATGCTCATTAAATTTCTGTTAAGTAAACTTCTGGCTCTCTTCTCTTTTGTAACAAAGGTTTATACTTGGATGGCCTAAATGTTCTTTCCAGTATTATGATTCTGTGATTAATAACAGCCACATATTAACTGATTCGTATAAATATATGTTCTTTATTCACTGAAATGCCATTTTGATTCAGGTGTTAGTACATTGTCATCTTTTCATAAGCAGTACTGCAGATGTTCAGTATAATTCTTTGCCAATCTAATTTTCTTGATTTTGCTGTAAAATCTTTTATATCATAGGATGGATATTTTTTGCTTTATGTGCCTTTATTCATACAGATTCTATAGAAGAGTAGGTATCTCTGCAAGGTTTCAGAGATCTGCTGTGTGTAACTGCTGCACATTAAGAAACATATATCATTTATTTATTTGTTTGTTATCTGTTTCATTAAAAATACACTTTTGTATTGCTTTCTATCATTTAATTGTTTTGCTTAAAGGAAACGTTTTAGTCTTATAGTCTAACTCTTAAAGTTATGCTGTTGATTAAAATAGTATTTTTTGTGTGTGTGAAACAGAAGACAAGGACATTAGGCCGCTCAATGGAGATCTATGCATCCTGCTGTGTCCATTATCTACATATTTCTCTGGTTATGGAGATCATATTAAACAGAGATTATACATATAGTTTAATCTGTCCACTTAGCTATCGTAGAAGGTATACTCAAAATATGTATATGCCTTGGAATATGTACTCAAAATACACATTGGTATTTTAAAATTACGATGTTTCGTACAGTGAGACAAAATATAATTAAGTTAAAATGTATGAATGCAGTTTGGTATGGAAATGCATTAAATAAACTCTTTATATCAAGCTGTATTCTTCAGCCTCTTGCTGTGATTGAACTGAATTAAATTTCCAACATTTTTATTTTATTTTTTATAATAACATTAATTTAAGCTAAAGCAAAAAGTTTGAGGATAATGAAGTAGGAATAAATGAATATTACAGCCACATTACTAAATGTAGTATATAGTGAATAAAACGCCAGATGAAATACATCAAATAGCATTTGAACTAAATCCAAATCAGCATGCAGACTGAGAGCTTCATTAAAGTCATGGACGCTAGTCCTGGAGAATAACTTGATAATGTCATTAAACTTGAATGTGCACTTTATTTTTTTAAATTATACCACCTGCTTTATCTGGGTTTTGAGATTTCACATTGCAGAGTTGCTTAAAGTATATACATCTGATGATGCACATGTTCTATATATACAACAGACCATAGTTTTTAAAAACAAAGATATTTTATGAACTCTTATAGAATTCCCCTAGTAGTATGTTTCGAATTACCGATTGAAAATCTCAGCTTTATTTCTTAGATAAATCTGCAAAGTAGCTTTCTTTCTTTTTTATTTAAAAATATTTTCAAACATTATGTATCCAGTATATATTACTGTAACATTTGGACTTCTAAATTGTATTTGAAGAATTTGATTAGAATACTTCATTGCCTGGATGAAATAATACCATTAAGAGATACGTACTCCTATATCTGGGAATTTACCCTCTTTGATTTTGGATGGGGTTGCACTGCCCCAGACAGACCTGGTGCATAATCTGGGGGTCCTTGAGGAGCAGGTGGCAGTCATGGTCAGGAGGGCGTTCACCCACCTTCGTTTGGTGTGCCAGTTACGCCCCTTCCTGGATTGGGAGGCTCTCTGGTCAGTCACTCATGCCCTGGTCATCTCTCAGTTAGACTGCTGCAATGCGCTCCACATGGGGCTATTCTTGAAGAATATCCGGAAACTACAGCTGGTTCAAAATGCGGCCATGCAAACAATCTTGGGTGCTCCTAGGATGGCACATATAACACCTTTGCTGCGGGAGCTGCATTGGGTGTCAGTTTGCTTCTGGGTCCAATTCAAGGTGTTGGTTATCACCTTTAAAGACTTACATGGCATGGGTCCAGGTTACTTGAGGGACCGTCTCACCTGCATTACATCAACCCATCCCACCCGGTCAGGCAGAGAGGGCATGTTGCGGACCCCATCAGCGAGAGAATGTCAGCTGGCGGGGCCCAGGAGGAGAGCCTTCTCTGCTGTTGCCCCCGTCCTTTGGAATATTCTCCCCCCAGAGCTGCATTTGATATTGACAAATATTTTTATTTATTCATATATCAAATTTGTTACTGCCTATCTTGTTGAAAAATGATTCTGGATGGTTTACAAAGGGATAAAATCTATTAAAATACAATTTAAAAATAATAAATTCCAAGAATGATAGAATTGGCGAATAACTCACGAGTGACACCAGCGTGTCAGCCACCCCCAGGATTGATTACAACTCTTATCGCCCCATGCAAGCTGGAAAACCAGGAGGGTAGGGGTCTGGTGAAGGATTTCAGCTCAGTGCGGAGCTGAATCCTCCCAGCAGGCAGCTCTTTGAGAGTGAAGAGGCTGCCTGCCAGATGGTTTCAGCGCCGTGTAGAGCTGAAATCCTCCTGGCAGGCAGCCCTTTCGCTCTCAAACATTCCTAAAGCCCGCCAAAGGATTTGCCTTTCCCTCTGTGGATGGAGGAGAAATCCTTCCTGGGGCTGGAGGAATGGAGCTCAAAACTTCTTCCTGAAGATTTGAGCTCCATTCCTTCACACCGCTGAGCGGGGAGGGGAAACCCTCTGCGGTGGGAAGGAATGGAGCTCAAATGCTGAAGATTTGAGTTCCATTCCTACCCACCACTGAGTGGGGAGGGGAAACCCTTGGCGATGGGAAGGAATGGAGCTCAAATGTCTGCAAACAGAGGGGAAATCCTTGGTGGGGCTGGAGGAACAGAGCTCAGATCTTCAGGATTTGAGCTCCATTCCTGCACACTGCTGTGTCCCCTCTGTTTGCAACCTTTCCTGCCGACTTCCAATGGGGAAGCCAACAGAGAAGATTGCAAATGGCGATCACATGATCATGGGGTGCTTGGTAACCAGTCATAAATGTGAGCCGGTTGCGAAGCGCCTGAAATGTAGCCATGTGACCCTGGGGGGGATGCAACATTTTACGGCAGCCAGAAGTGTTTTATGGGCCATAAAGCACCCTTTCCGAGGCCGTTGTAACTTTGAACCATCATTAAACGAATGGTCGTTAAGTGAGGACTACCTGTACTTCTTTGTTTAAGAATAACTGACCATGTTGAAGTGCATAACAGCCAGTTTGAAAATACCAAGGCTTTTCTTTATATTCTTTAACAGCCCTCCACCCTTCATCCCCTGGCCATCCTTTAGTCACAGGTTTATAGTAGCAGGTTCACTGGTCTTACGTTGGAAAAAATCAACTTATTTTACTATACAGGATATAAGTAATAAAAAAATAATTTTAAGAAATTCTTGGCAGGTTCCACTCTTACATTTTGGGACTTGGTATAAACCTGTGGAGCCAGCTGTTCACTTCTATGTTCTTTCAATCACAAAGAAATGTTGATTTTAAAGGGATGGGTTATTTCTAGAGTTATACATAGCTTGTGTTCCATAGGCTATAGACCTGCATGGCTTAGTTACACTTGTCCCTTTGCTTAAAGACTGAACCATATTCTCATTCAGAAATAGTGCTTACACTTAGTTTAAGAAGCTTTTAAAACACTTTGTTAAGCTGTATCAAGCCAAGGAACAAGTTATTTTTTGAATAAGGGCAGAATTCTCCCCCCTCTACCCCAATAATGTTATGGTACAGTCTTTGAAAACAATGGGTTGCACCTCTTCCCTTCAAATAATACAGAAGCTGTTCCAGCTTCAGCTTTAATGAGTGGAAGAGTCACCTAGCTACTTTAGTTAGTTAATTAATAGTAAATTAATAAGTTGACTATTAACATCAGAAGAAGCTATTTTATGTAATAAAACATGACTAAATATTCAAGTTATTGCAGTAGAGATATTGTGTGGGTTCAGATCTTATATTTCACTTTGTTCAAATGTAGTAGTATTATAATTAAAATTAGCATAACACTTTCAGATGTTCACAGCACTTAATAGCCATGTTCTAGCTGTAATCTTTGAAAAATGCTATACCATTTCCCTTCATATTTCTGAGAGAGGTAGTGGTTTTTCTAAGGTTATATGACTGAGGCAACATTTAAGCCAGGTAGTTCCTGCTTTGTAGCTCTGTCTGTTGACCACTTTCCTGTATCGGCTTTCTGTTTTATGATTTTCCCATGATTTCTTTTCTACAATAGTCCCTAATTCCTAATTTGTTTTACAATTTAGGCATTTAATTTATAATGTATTACAGGACCATATGGAATTTAATATAATATTGCATCCTGAGATCATAAGAATTGGTGATTTATTAGATTGGTACCTGTGCTGAATTTGTACTTTTATCTGAGTATATATAGGTTTTGATAATAATACTATTCATTTCTACTTTCTCCCACCCTTTTTTATTTTCTAGGTCTAAGCGATCTAATATTGCAGTGAATGAATGTATATTTGAACTTCCAAATTTGACAATTCAGGCTACAAGAGCTCAGAACTTTCTAATGCAAACTATTTGGCAGAGTTGGGCTTATACTGGAAATTCTAGTTCATCATTAGTGAATGAAATTTTAATGAATGAAGTCTTCCAAATATCAGGTACTGAAATGACAACATTTTTATGCATTGTGTATCATTCATTCATTCTTATGTTTAAAGTTCAGGTATAGTTTTTTAAAAATTTCTGATGTGATCTAAAATAAACTAAGTTTATGTATATGTAAAACTGTTCAATAAAATGTATTGATTTTGATTTAAGTTACTGCATATAGGAGATTCCTTGTTTCTGGAACAAGTGCTAAAGGGGGTGGGAAGAAGGTCATATATTTAATAATGGGGATTGTTAAATGTAGCTCATTGGCGATTCCTTTATGAATTTATGTTCACACATAGTGCTTAGCTGAGATTTCTAATCATGGTTTGCTGAACAAGTGTAATGGCTTGTGCACATATAATATGAGATGTCTTTCAATGTTAGTTTGATTACTGGTGACTTTGTGGACACTGTAGTTTATTTGGAAGCAAGAGGGAAGTGATTTGCTATTGTCTTCTGTGATTTTTAAATTTTCCCCTCTAGGTTATAGTCAGCATTCCTTTTCAAGTAGTAACCAAGCCCAATCTTTCTTAGCTTCCAAACTTGGTACAAGATTAGCCAGGCTATCATCTGCTGAAATTGTTCACATATAATATAACCCATTGCATTACATCGCCTCTGTAGGGACCCCTCTCTATGGAACAGAATACCCCAGAGGCAAGAATGGCTTGCTCATTAGGCTCTTTCAAAAACATGACAAGATCTAGTTATTTTAGAAAACTTTGGAAGCTTGAATTATTTGTCTTGAGTGAGATGTAGTGCCATAGATATTATATGGTAGGAAGATTATTTATTTATCTGCCAAATCAGAAGAAAAAAGGTTATTATAAAATGATATATTTCATTACAGGTAGTCCTTGACTTATGACCATTCCTTAACGACCATTTGAACTTATGATAGCACTGAAAAAGTGACTCACACTTATGACTGTTGCAGTATACCCATGATCACGTGATCAAAATTTGGGTGCTTGGCAACCGGCATGTATTTACAATGGTTGCAGCATCCTGGGGTCACATGATCGCTGTTTGCAACCTTCCCAGGGGACTTCTGACAAGCAAAGTCGATGGGGGAAGTCGGATTTGCTTAACAACTGCATGATTCACTTAATGACTGTGGCAAAAAAGGTCATAAAATTAGGTACAACTCACTTAACCGCATTACTTAGCGATGGAAGTTACCAGTCCCAATTGTGGTTGTAAGTTGAGGACTACCTGTATTGTTGTTCCCTGTATTATTTAGTGTTATGTATATTTGTTGGCCTATAAACAGTTTAGAGTTGGTTAAGACTGAAGTGGTATAAAAGCTAACGAAGGGAGGGAGGGAGGGAGGGGTTGGTGTTAACTTGATCTTTCTTCTCAAGGCAAACAATATAATAAAGACTAATAGAACCACACTGATACATAGTTGAGAAAACATTTATAGGATAAAGAAAACATTTACTAGAATCAACTAAAATGACACAAAAGGGAGTACAAGTTTTTAAGTTCATTGGAACCCTTCACTGGGTATGACATTACAGAAGAACCAAAAATATTTTAAAATTAGGCTTGATGTAACGGGTGGGTGTTCTATTATTCAGATTAAATTTTAAGATGGCATGTACAAATTCTTAAACTACATCTTTAAAATTAGCCATGGTTGATGCTTGGAAGATGTCAGTTAATGGATTTGTTCTTCTATATATATCAGTTATGTACTCAAAATCAAGGTTTTTGAAAAATGGTAATTCATAAAATGCAAAGCATTACTAGCTAAGGAATCATACTTCATTTTGAAAAAAGGTTAGGAGTTTCTTCTTATAGCTTATAGAGAATTAATAGCTGCCTAAATATTATTTATTGTTGGAAATAGAACTTGTCTCTATGTCATAATTAGAAGATTGTTACAATGGACAGTTGGTGGTGATAAATATCTAGTGGCTAACAAACCATTTTAACAGTTCCAGTAAGGTACTTTTTATTGAAAATAAGAGCTCATATTTAGTACATGCTGTTTGTTCAGTGGCTTTTTAAGGCAGTCTTGCTGGAAACACTATTACGGAAATACTGTAAGAATCTAGTTGTTTTTAAAGTGAATTGAATATAGGGACCTAAAGACAGTCTTCTACCAGTCTAACCTAGTATACGGTTAGGGCTGTACAATATTATTTATATAGTATTGGACACAGTTTTCACACATTTGCAGCAAACATTGGTAAGCCACCAATTGAAAAAAAGGAAATCTTGAAACTTATTCCATGTTAGGTAAGTAAAAGCAATCAAAAATTCTGTACAGAATAGCAATGTACAAAGCAGAAGAGAAATGTATAAAAATATGTATATAACTTGAATGTTTATTATTTAATAATTTATTATTCAATATTATATATTTTTAATTAGTTGCATAATTATAAATGTTTATAGGTTGGGTTGATTAGAAGGAGAAAAAGTTTATAGGACTGTAAGTACTTTCCCTAGTTTCCTCAAAGGAAATAATAAGAATAGCTTTGCATTGTAAGATGTTCATGCCTGCGTTTTTTAAATGTGCCTTCAACTTGTGCTGGTATTGGGGAAAAATCAAAGCAAAATACAGGTTTAAAATATATATCTGTATAATTTCATTCTAATGTAAGAGCATTTCTTACTGTGACAAGATGGATTGGACTTCAGGTTTAAGCAGCAGAATCTGGCCTGATTCAGATGTAGCACTGCATCAGGATTTAGTTAGGCCAATTTAGCTAAATGTCTAAATCCATACCGTGTAACTGGGTTAATTTTTTTTCAAGAATCCCCATTGTAACTGCAATTTGAAATGTGTATTTGAATCTAGGCTTGCTTCAACTTTCATTTATTGATAACTCTAAATCTGGAATTGTGAGTTTGTTGCTATGCCTTTCCAAATTTGATCAGCTTATAAAGGTGCAAGTGAAGGATTGAAAAAGGACCTTTGTCACGGTATACTGCTTACTTCCCCAAACTTCTCAGTCCTTTTCCATTCCAGCAAATTTCTACAGCCAGCTGGTCCCTTTATAGAAAAGACATGTATTAGAAAATATACATTAAGGTTTACAAAAAAACTTGATACCACTTGATTTCTGCTGGTTCTTTTTTCTGTGATTGGAGTTTGCAAATATTAGGAGAAAGAAAATTGCCATATCTACATTAATCTCATTGGATAACTTAAGGTGATTTTTAAGGCTATCATTTTGTGGCAGAGTTTAAGGAAAATCAGTTTTAAAGAGTTAATCCTGTTGCATTGCTATATTTTGCCTGACAGTCTGAAATCCACTTCTTGCCATATCAAGCGTATTCTCAATAGAATATGTGTAGCTCAGGGTTGAACTGTGGAGTCCTTGGGGTTCTCTGAGCTTGGTTCTTTTCTTGCAAATGTTTC